CGTGGAGGAGCTTGACCTCCTTGGTCGAAAGGAGTGGATGTTTCACCTAAACCCTAAACCCTACACCCTAAACCCTAAACCCTACACCCTAAGCCCAAATTCACCCTAAACCCTAAACCCTACAGCATGAATCATCGCCGGCAGTCTGCCGGGCAAGGAGTTCCTTTATAGATGGTTCCTTCTCAAGAGATCCTCTCGAGGTTGAGTCACCAGGAGTTATTTACCCAGGTCGGCTTCGTAACTCTTCTAACTACCCTGTGCCCCTAATGGGCTCTTCTTAGGCCCTCCCTCTAAGGGAGTGACCCGAGGGATCGCTTCTGGCTCCACTCCAACATGCCTAAAGTCTTGTCAGGGTGTTGTAGGATTTAGAAGGCTCCCTATAGGATCAAAGGGATTTAGGTGCCGTTCATGCCGAAATAGTTCGAACATTGGCAAATAGACCTCGATGCGAAAAGCTGCCAAGGTTTACGGACGAGTCAAAGTACCCCTCGGCATGCTTGATCTGCCGCGGCACGGTGGATGATTATGTCACACATGTCCCCGGGAACCTCTTGTAAATGGGCACGGACGACCGTGCGTCTGCTTGAGTGGGCTTTATGCTGTCTACACCACACTTCTCTTCAGAGTCGTAGTCGTCCACATCCCAGACAACAGGTAGAGGCTGACAGTGTGACTTTTCTGAGCAACCACAGACTTCTCCGACACGCTTAAATCAGGAAGATACCTTAAATTATAGGGGCCTTAATATTGTGACTTAAGGTATGTTCCGCAATTAAGGGGTATTCCTCGCCAGGCAACCTATCCCTCCCAACTTCGCCGAGTTCCAGCGCCCCGCAGCTGCACTCCAAAGTCTCGGGGGAGGAGAGAACAGGTCTCCTGAAATCTAGAGATCTAGAGAAACCAAGACAAGCATATCACATGTTATATGCTAGTAACTATGCACTATAACCGACATACTAGAAACCTACATATTATGGAGAGGTTTGGAGGGGTCGCATGGCATCTTGCAGCCCAAGATCCACATCGCGATCGCGATCACCTGCAAGTTGCAGCAAACATCATCGCCCTTGGAACCCGTAACGCTTTATACAGAAAGCCCAGACAGGCCTTGGAAAAGAACAGACCTTGGATAGTAGGTGTGTAAGTAAAGGACCCATTCCGAGCATTTTAAGCCCGATTTCGAAGCTACTTATTGCCATCCCTACTCCTTCACGTCGGGCACTTGGTGCCCAGGTTTTCGCAACATCTACTTGAACCCAAATCGGGTGTGCCTGGCCTGGAAAAAGCCAGGGCAAGCGTTGCGGGGCTTCTGAGATCTCACCTCCTTCGGATTCTTGTGAGTCTTGAGGGGGCCGAGGTGAGCATGTTGAGTCTGCCATAATGCGGGAGCAGAGTGGAACAGAGTTGAACGACCAAAGAGGTCATCTAGGGGTGCCAGAGGCATCTTGCGAACACATGCTCCTTCGCGAAGCCGTGGCTCGCATAATTCAAAGGGCCGGTTGGACGAGCTTGCTGATTCGCTGGCCTACCGTGGTATCGGATCATGAAACCCGAAACTGTAATATTGGGGCCTTCATAACTAGAATAGGGTTTCGGCCATAATAAGCAGGAACCCCCAAAAATAGTACGGGGAATTATCTAGGCCGCTACAGTAGGCACTGCCACCCCCTGACCGAACTCCCCCCAAAGAAAACCCCTAAACCCCTAACCCCTAAACTCTAAACCCCTAAACCCCTAAACCCCTAAACCCTAAACCCTAAACCCCTAAACCCTAAACCCTAAACCCCTAAGTCCATGGCCAGGTCTACCAGCCAGATCTCGTAATGGACGTGAAGCTGTTCACGTTTGGAAACAAATGAGGCAGAGCCACGGTTTAGGGTTTAGGGTTTAGGGGTTTAGGGTTTAGGGTTTAGGGTATGGAGGTTTAGGGTTTAGCGTTTAGGTTCCGGCACATGTTGAGATGAGATGGGAGTTTCCGAAAATAGGGGGTACCATATTTAGGGGTCCTTATAATAAGGATCCTAGTATTTAGGGTGCTATATTAGGGTCCCCCTATTTTCGGAAACCCCCATATAGTGGCCTTCGTAATTGCCTATATTACTTTGGGGTTCCTTATTATATTTATAGTATATAATATACCCCAAAACCCTATTCTATTTAGTAAGGCCCCTACAGTATCCGGTCCGTGGAATCATCGACTTCAACGTTTTAACCTTCAAGGTGAGAGAAGGTCGGGGAACTCACAGAACTCGAGGCTAAGGCTGTCATGTTTGCACTTCGGTGTGAAAATGTGGTTTGGCCAGACAGCATTTGCGCGTAGGTCGGCTGGTTGGCTGAGTGCATCCAACAATGTGGGAGAGGACTTCGTAGAAAGTGACAGAGGTACCATCGACAGATGGGGACCGTGAAGCAGCATGGTTTAAATCTTGTAGCCAGCACATGTCAGACAGGAAGGCTGAACTTCTTCAAGAATCAGACTGAATTTCCTGAAGCCTATGCGTTCTCAACTCCAAATCGCTCCTGAGCCGCATTGCCCGTTGCAACCCATTGTTCCCAGAGACTCCAACATCCTTAAGTAAGGAATTTGCCTTAAGTCATCATAAGGATTCCATTATCATTCATTTAACCCAATATCCCTTGTTGAAGAACGAACATGCCTCAGATCATCATAAGGATTCCAGTATCATTTAAGGTATATCCCGGAATGCATTAAGGGATTTTGGAGTCTCTGGGTTGAGGATGTACCCTTTTGGAACCCTTAGAGATCCCTTTTAATGTAGGGGCCTTACGAATTTTCATAGGGCTTTTGGAGGTTTATTGTACTATACTTCTAAAAAGGAACCCCCCAAACCCTTTTGGAATGATGAAGGCCCCTATATAGGTAGTTCTCTAAACTAGGGTCCCTTTTGAGGTGCCCAATATCGTACGGCACCCTTATACAACAGACTCTAAAAGGGACCCTGATTTTGAAAACGACCTATACTTTACGGGATCCTCCGACGCTATTTTAATTATAAGAAGGAACCTTCTAAACCCTATTATTCTAATTATGAAGGCCCCTTTTCTTTCTAGGGGGATGTTCCGACAATCCGAAAGCCAGGTCTTCCCGAGAGCCTTCGCTGTGCGAAGGCAGGACGGACTCGGCAGGCTCCTTTGCGGTGAAAAAGAGTCCGGAGAGGCTTAACATAAAGGGTTTAGGACTTAGGCTCAGGGGTTTAGGGGGTTTGTAATATTATTGATCACAAAAAGAGTCCGGAGAGGTTTTATATAAGGGCTTTAATATTAAGGGTTTAGGTTGGGTACTGCCCCCACTCCGTAACAGTTGGATAATATTCATAGAATGGATATATTAGGCCTTTTATAGTCGCCCCCATTATAGTTTATAGACTGTTACTGTATGGGGGCAGTACCCTAGGTTTAGGGCTTAGGGGTTTTGTAAGATAAATCACAACAGTAAAGTGTGTACATTAACTATTGGGTTCTTGAAGCATTAAATCACTTGACAGGCCTTATATAGGGGCCTAAATATGCACTATATATATAAATATATATATATATATATATATTTTTTTTTTTTTTTGGGGGGGTCCCTTATAATAACCATAGTATAATGGGCCCCAAACCCCTATTCTAATTATTAAGGCCCCTATGTTAACATTAACTTTTTTTTGCAACACTAGACCACGATGACACAGTGTGTGACGCACTTTAGTCTATACATCACGAAAGTGTGTAACGGATGTTGGTCTCTATATATATATATATTTATTTATTTATTTATTTATTTATTTAGTTATTTAGTTATTTAATTTAGTTATTTATTTGTTTATTTGTATTTATACTTATTATACCGTATTCTCCTCTCCAAGGACTTGCCGTGGCTCGTCCCCAGAGACGAGCTCGAGATTCCAGATTCGGGTTCCTGGAGTTAGGAGAGTCCCAAAGAAGATACTATTCTAGGGGTTCTATATGGGCTACTATGAGTTTTTTGAGGTTTAGGGGTTCTATAAGGGCTACTATGAGTTTTTTAAGGTATAGGGGTTCTAGAAGCGCTACTATGAAAGGTGTTATGATAGAGAAGCCTGAATTTTTGAAAAAAAAAAAAAGCAATACTATGTTGGGGGTTCCCGACGATAGACCACAGCAGAATATATGCCCAAAACCCTAAACCCTGAACCCTGAACCCTAAACCCTGAACCCAAAGAAAGCCCTATTGGCAATGCTAAGGCCCCCCCCTTTTTGGGTCACAAAAACGTCGACCTTTGGAAGTCGGAGCCTGCTTGCATGTACGACTGGGTACTTCGCAGGATCAGGGTGTTTAATCAGAACCGATTTCGGGTTTGGAGTTTAGGGTTTAGGGTTTCGGGTTTCGAGTTTAGGGCTTTGGGTTCAGGGTTTCGGGTTTAGGGTAATGATTCTTGCAAGTGGCAGTTGTCCTCGCCGAGAGTTTGAGGAGTCAAGCGTTTCTGTAGTTCGTATCAGCGTGCATCTGATGGGTGGCTCCTGGTCCAAATACACGGCCCCGGCTGAGATCGAAACGCAATGGCACCAGGGCAGCAGAAAGAAGTCATGTAGGGGCTTAAATAATTCCAATACTATTTTGGTGGTTCCTCATTATGATTATAGTAGAATGGACCCCAGAACCCTATTCTAATCATTGGGGCCCCTGGACCGGAAAAGGAGGGGCAGCGACCCTCAGCGAGTCCAAAACCCGGTCTGCGTCAAGAAGTATAACTCATGTGGGTGGTTGTCAAAATTATGGTCCCCTTTTGGATCCTTATTATAATACGGCACCTATTATTTAGGGTACCCCAAAAGGGACCATAATTTTGACAACTACCCATGTCCAAAACACCTTCTGTGCTTGGGCATGGCCCCGGCTTGGGGATCACAGGGCCCATACAGACTAATCAGGAAGACGCAAATTACATCTGCATGCATTCACTATGCGTAGATGCGTACGTACATACACGAAGTACCTCGTAGGTGTAGAAGTCCACATGTGCGCTCAGCTGACGTTTGCTGTGCCAGCGAGGTTCCACGACTTTGAGAAGGATCTCCCGTCCCTGGAAGGCAAGGTCGTCTGTGTGACGGGCTGCACGACTGGAACTGGCTTCATTGCTGCCAGGACAAGGGGCTGCATGAGTTTCCCACATGCTAGGTACTTCTGCCATGGTTCTCAACGTGTAGGTTTCGGGACAGGCGATATCTGATTTATCTCCCGACCCTTCGTGTTTTAAGCACGCCATCGTGCAGCGTGGAGCTTTTCGCAGGACAGCGGCCAAGAAAGGAGCCCATGTGGTCATGCTGAATCGCCAGAGCACCCTTGCTGCAAAGCATCATCAGCATTGCAAAAGCAGTCGTGCCTGTGTGTGTGTGTGTGTAGGTGTGTGTGTGTGTGTGTGTGTAGGTGTGTGTGTGTGTGTGTGTGTGTGTGTGTGTGTGTGCGTGGGTGCGTGCGTGCGTGCGTGCGTGCGTGCGTGCGTGCGTGCGTGCGTGCGTGCGTGCGTGCGTGCGTGCGTGCGTGCGTGCGTGCGTGGGTGCGTGGGTGCGTGCGTGCGTGGGTGCGT